TGTGTTACATGTCCTCTTGATCGTTTGATTCGAGATCAGGATTAGATTCAGCTTGATCCCTCGAGGATCATCTTCTGTTATCACTGATAACAGGTCGGTTGTCGATTCGTCCGTTTGCGATTCAACTCCAATCCACTCTTGCCACTCAACCTAAAGGCTTTAGCCCTGTGGTTTGAACTGTTTCATTGTGTTTTCACACGGACTTTATTGAATGACCATTTAACAAAAGTACTAAGTATTTATTTTGGGGAGTTGCACAAAAGTGAGGTTTGTATGGCTAAAGCAAGGGGTATGAGTATAGAGAATGGTTGAAGTTGACCCCGTGTAGTGCTTGGACTTTTGGTGGGATCTTTGATGTGATTGCAGGTATGTTCGGTGATTCGGACTTTGGATTTTCACTGGCTGCACTCACATACATATATATATATATATGGCTGAGAGGAGCTCCACTGTGATTGTGAGAACTGATCGTCACATATTAATAACCCTTATATTTGTGTGATATACATGAGTCGTGAGTGTTTCGCGCGACCTACTGAGACGGCGCGCAAGGGTTAAACAGATTATGTGTTTGAGAGAAAAGGGAGATCCCCTTTTATCCTTAGCTTTTTAGAGATTTTTATAGGCGGACGTTGGTCCTGGGCCGGTATTCAAGGTCCTTGTCCAGGACATCCCAAGCTCTAGACTCTGCAGGGAAGGAATCTGCCCCCGTGCAGAGCCTATTTGCCTTGCCTACCGAGACGCTTAGACCAAAGGCCGGAGGTCTCGCGGAGGCTGCACGGCTATTCCTTCAGCCGTGCAATGTCGTGAGGGATTGGACCCTCACAACACTTTGAGTCTGACACTTGAGTGTCATAAGCGGTACTTGGATCCACGAGGGACCGCTTGATTATGGGCACTACATAGTACGCCATCATTGCAGCTTCTTGCGTACGGTCGCATTGCGAGTCGATATGAGTTAGCCCTGGGTCCGCGCGGTTTTATATTAAGTCTTGCACGCAACGTCTATCCGATTTCCGCATCAGAAAGTTATGGGTTGGCTACCGAGGGACTGGGAGCATTGTCGCGTTGTTTGTGTTGTGTTGTTTCGTGTGTATGTGTGTTTTATTTTTGTGATTCGTACGCGTGGTGTGTGGGATGCGTCCTAGTCGATCGACGACGAGTCGCGCTTGGGACCTCAACCCCCCAAGATGTCGGTTCGCGTGCGGGTCCGATAGAGGAGTATTACCGCGCGTACCCCCTATGCTACAGCGAACGAGAAACGCCCTCGGCTGGTCCACCGCTGCGATTGCAACTGATTAGCTTTCGTACTGTGGGCTGGTAGCTCGGCGGGGATACGCCCACCGAAGGGAGGTCACAACTCCCATAAGGTGTAGGTAAGTCGTGCCTCACGTAGGCCCTATCCTGTCGTAGGGGCTCGCGAGAGGTATGGCTAGCGCACTCGGCCGGAGCAGCTTGTGGAAGCTCCATGTGTATTACGACGAAGGATGTAAACCAACTCCTGCGTGACGCGGCCGGGAGGGTCCCGCGCTGCCCTGGTGCGGTGCCGGACCGATGCGCTCGACACCGAGCAGATGAACTGTGTAGTACAACACTTGCTCTGGCATTACATCAAGTCGAGCCAAGATGATTGGGATGAGAAGTTACCTCTCATCGCCAGCCTGTACAACAACGCTGTGCACAACACTACCGGCATGACTCCCAACTAGCTGCATCTTGGTTGGAAGCCATCCCAGGTCTGCTCTTGATTTCTTGTTGCCTGAGAACCAGCCCACTGTAGCACCAGACAACATAGAGTTTGCAGCCAAGTATGAACTGCTGCAGCAGGCTGTCGAGCACATAAAGAAATCTCAGGATTGCATCTCAGAATAGGCACAGACGACCATCTGCATTTCAGGTAGGTGAACGTGTTTGGGTTAAATCATCTCAACTGTGACAAGAACTGGGTATATCCAGAAAACTGATACCACAATATTTCGGTCCTTGGGAAGTCCTAGACATATTGGGGGATGCACCAGACAGACCATCTTACCTTATTCGAGTCCCTGCACACTCACACACACACACTCTGTTTTCCATGCCTCCAAACTGGCCCCTTTCACTGAAACTGACAGGTTTCCCTCCAGGAAATCTATCCTGCCCCCAACCATCGATGGACACATGGACGTCGACGACATCATTGAACATCAGTTGGTGCCAGTGACTAAGCCCCCAGGCTGGGGAAGACCTCCAAAACCGCAGATGCAGTACAGAGTGCGGTTCAGGCACCATCTTGATCCTAAAGAAGATTGATGGTTCACGAGAGAAGAACTGATGAAGACTGCTCCCCAAATTGTCTCACCATATGAAAGAGCATTGAAAGGGAAGCAGCCTGCTGAATGAGGACTTCTCAGGGGACTATCGAAGTAAAGGAGGAGGGAGTATGAGGATTTTACCCCTCGGCATACCTGCATAAGGGCCCAGCAACAGACGCGCGCCCGCCCTAAGTGAAGGCGGGCCCCTGAATCCCAATGAGCCCGGGATTCGTCATTTTTTTGCAAATCTTGGTGGGTGCCAGACAGTTGCCACGCGCCAGTTGGTTACATCCGCCTCGCCCGTGAGAATCTGAAATATTTGTGAGCCTTCCAGGCTCTTCCAGGAACGTGGTGAAAGCAGGGAACACCACACGTTTGTGCATGGGTGGTTGGGCATGCCTACCCAATTCGGTCCCAGGCCACTGTCTGAACGGGCCTGGGCGCAGAGGTAGGCGGCAGGCAGCAAGCCCGGCACTTTCCATTTAGGAAAGGGCTGGGCTACACACGAGGCATTTGGGCACAAGTCAATGCATGCGGCAGCACTGCTGGAGCATGCGCTCGCCGGCTGCTTGGTGTGCACTAACGCTAGGTGCCGGGCAGTGCGCGCGGGCGCTGGAAGAAGGCAGGGTGCTGCAAGCAGGCAGCGCCATACCCAAGCCCTCCATTGTCGGGCTTGCCTTGGATGAAGGTCAGCAGGGTCCGGTGGTGGCCTTCGTGTGAGGGGAGACGTGGGTGAAGAAGACGAGGGGGAGAGAGAGAGAGAGAGAGAGAGAGAGAGAGAGAGAGAGAGAGAGAGAGAGAGAGAGAGAGAGAGAGAGAGAGAGAGAGAGAGAGAAGGATGATGATGTGAGGGTATGTACCTGGTCTTGGCGATGGTCTACATGGTCGACATCTGCTTGTACTTCGGTTGATGCCGCTGACGTCAACAAGTTGCTTGTCATTTCGTGACTAGTAGTGTAGCTGTAGGATTCTGGGCGCTGAGCGCAAGTAGGAGGAAGAGTTACGATCGCACTGTTGGCGGTGGCAAGTATATGCTTTCATTGACAGTTGAGTTTGATGCTTTGATCCTCCTTCCGTATAACATCAGCGCAATTCTGCTTTCTGGACAGCATTCGACTGTCTGGCTTTCAAAGTGATTTGCAATCTGGAATTCTGTCAATTCGTTATTGCTCAGTTTCCTTGGAGAAGGAGGGGGGGGGGGGGGAGAGAGGGGGAACTTTTTTGTATTTCAGACTATTTCTACTATTTCATTTAAAGCTGAGGATGGATATATGACTCCTTTCATGGGAAATCTACTCTTCTTTTCTTTTTTTTGGGCTATCCTATTCTTGTGTCAAACACTTTACAAAACCTAATACATCAATAATATCATAACACCGGACCGATCCAAACCCAGACAACCAGTCGGTCCGGATATGATCTGGACGTCTGGATTTCCGGACCAGTCCGGACATGGTCTGGACCAGTCTGGATGGCCCGGATGATCATGTCCGGATCGGTCCGGATAAAAAAACAAAAAAAAAACAACCAACAACAACAGCAACAACAGGTCTCTTATCCATGTTGAATGCAGTTTCATCGTGTAACCGTGACTCAAGGGGAAGTGTTCCAGGAAGACATAGCTGTTGGCATATATATGACAAGCATGAATGATCATTCCTTGACATGCACTGTGCTGGCACAGTCACGGCAAAGCACAAACTGCTGCAAGGGAAGAAAAAGTGAAGAAACAAAAGAAAGAACACTCCGCAGTAAACCTGAATAAAGGTAAACATTAAATGAAGTTCAAGACTTTAGCAGTTCATAATTTAAAGTTCAAAGTTTGAAGTCCGAGTTCAAACTCTCTCTCTCTCTCTCTCTCTCTCTCTCTCTCTCTCTCTCTCTCTCTCTCTCTCTCTCTCTCTTGCATGTGCGCACCAATCCACAATGGTAACGAGGGCTCTCTCTCCCTCTCCCTCTGTGTGTGTGTGTGTGCGTGTGTGGCGGCAGCAGGTGCGCGAGAATGCACTCTGAAGTGCCTAGATCCGCCCTTTCTTCCCTTCCTCACTGGGGAACTGCGCTCTGCCTCCAACAGTCTGCCCAGGATGCAAATAGAAAAGGGGTCGGTCCGGCCGCCCTGTATGGCCGATACCGGCCCCAAAAATCATAGAAACATTTTTCAGGGGGCGCCCTGCACCAAGGAACAGGTCTAGGGTGCCCCATTTTTTTTTTGAATTTCGGGGTTTTGGCCCCTTCCATGCCCCATTTTTTTTTTGAATTTCGGGGTTTTGGCCCCTTCCGGACGGGCCTCCTACAGTCCGGCGTCCAGACACCGGACAGCAGACCGTCTGGACACCTGTCCGGATGTCCGGATGGTAGCCATGATCATAACAGAAATGAGTGTTTTTTTTCCCACTTTTCTGAACTTTCCTGAACCCCTTTTTTGCCTTTTTTTTAAACCCTGCTTCGGTCTGCTAGCGGGGGTGGTATGAGCATCCCCCTGATTAACGTTCAGTGGTCTTGAATTACTACGACGGTACAACCCTAAGTCCCTATGAAGTTCATTGACATCAAAACCCTTCAGATCATTGACATCAGCATCCCATATTCAATCATTCATAACTTTTTCCCGTTCCAGTGCAGATCAAATTATCAGGAAGGGCACCAATGATCCAGGTTCAGGTGTTAACCTCACATGGGGAAAATAATGGGTAAAAAGAAGCATACGCAAGAAGAACTGCCCCTGCATAAAAGGCTGCTGCTGATTCGGTAAGCTTGCCAGTTTTCTCCATGTACAAGAAAAGCTCCCTTCCCACTGTCAATTCCTGAAGAAAAAATACCTGTCACATGCAAAGACAAGTCAAGAACACAGAGCAAGCATACTTTGAGAGAGGGAAAGTGGGCCAGTGGGGAAAAGAGCAAGAGAACTTGCAAGGCTATGTGTATACACAAGGGAGAGAGAGAGAGAGAGAGAGAGAGAGAGAGAGAGAGAGAGAGAGAGAGAGAGAGAGA